GGTTTGGGGGGGGTATTTTTCTTTGATCACTTGCCAGCTAGAGAGAGAGAGAGAGAAAGAGACGCACCAGTACTTCTCTAAGTTAGATATAATCCAATAGTGGCTCTTTTTATACATGGCAAATTTTCGCTAGCTGATTCGATACTATATTTATTTGTCCAGCTCTTTCTTGTCTTTCCACAACGATTTTACTGTTATTTTCATACTCGTTTGTAAAGCCTCTAATCTTCAGCACTTATATGAACTTGTTGTTTTGCAAGGCCGTTAAACTCTTACTGTGGGTGGTTGACGGGTGCTCGGGAGTGGTTTGCTTCTTCTTTCCTATCAAACATCTATCGCTTTTATCTCCCCACCTTTTTCGTGTTTGTTACGCTCTTGTAACACCTCTAATCTTCTGCAATTATATGACCTATTGTGTTGCATGTGCCGTAAACCTCTTACTAAAACAAAAACTCTTATACTAAAACCGAAACTATAACTTTTATTTTCTATTTTCTTTCCAGATTTTACAAGTCACGTGCCAGGACACGGAGCATGAGAGCGAAGGAGTGCGCAAAGAATCGATATCAGTAACCTCGACCTTGTTCTTCTAACTTGGCACAGACAACAATGCTCCAAACGCATCCCAAACTCTCTACTTTTTATTGTCTCCGACGTATGACCTGCTCGTTATAGCGGAGGAGTTTGACGTGTCTACGGGGTTATCGCTCGTGGTACCTTCCGGGACATCCTCTCATTGGACACAGCGATGATGGCGGCGAAGATTGTAGTGGTGCGGACTAACTCATCGAGGTGTAGGGGTCGTGGTGATGGTGGTGGCGGTGTTGGAACGAACAAAATTATGCCGCTGCCGGCTTTGGGATTGTGTGTGATTCTTCTGTCGCTGGCGAGTCCAGGAGAGGCAATCTACTTGGGCCCAAAGCTGTCGCACATGGTTGTGGATGGTGTCACGGGAGTGGTCTTCGTAGGAGGTACGTGTGTCCCATTCTTTAATCAACATGTTTTTTCTGTCTAGCTCTCATACTTTCCCCCCAGCGCATAAGGCCATTATTGTATCCATATGCTTCTTTTTACTTTACTCAAACAAACAAAAAACTGTATGCCAGTCTGTCTATCCTCTGATCTTTTTAATTTTATAGATTTGGTTTGTTGGCGGGCGCTCTAGTGTGGCCTGCTCCTTCTATCCTACTGTCCTTATCTCTCCACCTTCTTTTTTGTGTTTATTACTCTCTTGTAACATCTCTAATCTTCACCACTTATTTGACCTTTTTGAGTTGCAAAGTGCCGTTAAACTAAAACAGGACACGGTCGTTTGACTTCTCTTAGTTAAGAACACACATGTAATGACTCAAGGATATTTCCTCTCCAGGTGAGAACCATTTGTACCAACTGGACTCTGAGCTCAACCTGTTTGTAGACGTGAAGACAGGACCCAGGAACGACAGCACCAAATGCTTTCCGCCTCCTGGCTTCTGTTATGCGAACAGGACTGCCACCAACAATTACAATAAGGTGAGTACTCAGTAGCAACAGGTTTGTTTTTTGTTCGTTTGTTTTAAATTGTTTTTTGTTTTTTTAGGTTTTTTTGTGTGCGTTTCTCTTATTTTTTAGAATTGGGTGATTTCACATGAAGTTCGTGGTTGGCAAGTGCTCTGGTGTGGTTTGCTCCTTCTTTTATATCAAACATCTATCGTTGCTGTAACCCCTTTTGTTGTTGTTTGTTGCTCTCTAGTGACACCTCTAATCTTCGGCACTTATATGATCTAATTGTGTTGCTAGTGCCGTAAAACGCTCACTGAAACTAATCATGTACTTCTTTCCCACCCCTCTTTGTTTCTTCCTGTCTCTGTGGCGTGTATTCACCCAGTTTTAAGGGACGCAATTGAGTCGGTATATTTCTCTTTAATGTAAACTTATATTCTTATAAAGCTCATAACTATATTCGATATGGCAGAATAAAAGCCAGCGAGAGGAAGTATCTCCGCATAATGACGCCGCCATGCTCAATTGTAAAAAAAAAAATGATGATAAAAATATGATAAAAAGATAGTGAAGAGAAATCCTAGATTTTTCCAGAGAAAACAAGCTAGAGGAGACTATCATTAAAATGTCATCGATTGCGCTCGTCTCTTTGTTGTGGTGACCGGATACTTTTGCGACAGTGCAATGCGAGAATGCTTTCTGTATTGTCGGGATATTCGTTTTGCATTGCACGAATACAGGAAGACTGGCCTGAGGGAGGATGGGGACTCTCCGTCTGGACTGCTCGCTCTGTCTCTCTCTGTCTCTCTGTCTCTCTGTCTCTCTGTCTCTGTCTGTGTCTCTCTCTCTCTCTCTATCTATCTATCTATCTATCTATCTATCTATCTATCTATCTATCTATCTATCTATATCTATATATATATATATTGTCCAAGTCCAGTCCCAACAGGGAAAGGGGATAGGGGAAGAGTCGGAGACAGTGAGAGAGTGAGAGAGAGAGAGAGAGGGGGGGGGGAGCACCGAGGAGACAGACAGATAGACAACTCTCTCTCTCTCCTTCTTTTCCCCCTTCTCCCCCTCTCCCCCACTCTCTCTCTCTCTCTCTCTCTCTCTCTTTCTCGCTCTCTCTGTCTCGCTCCCCGTCTCTCTCTTTCTTTCTTTCTCTCTCTCTCCCTCTCCCTCAATCTCTCTCTCTCTCTCTCTCTCTCTCTCTCTCTCTCTCTCTCTCTCTCTCTCTCTTTCTCCGTCTGAGCTGTGCTCATCCTTTTGAACTGTCTTTAAATATACAGTCTATACCCTACCCTTTACTTTTATTTCGTTTTAACCAAAATGAGAAGAATGCGAAATCTTTACATGTCCTGTTACTCTGATATTTGTTGTGGAATACGACGTCCATCGAAAAGTGTACATTGTACTGTCTTTAGAAAATGCTTTGTATAATAATGTAGGGAAAAACAGTATGTTATATTGCCAGATCCACCAGGGCTAATTGATATTATTATGTTCTTTTATTTACTCTGTGAGAATCACAATACCCCCCCCCCCCACACACACACACACACACAAATTAAATCGGAAGATATTGTGTAAAGTTTACAAAATTCCTTAGGAATAAATCTGATGGAATGTGCTTTGGCGTCTTAAATAACCAAAAAGTGTTGATAGTTGGAGCGTTAATTAAACTTATTCCACATTTCCCCCAGGTTTTGGTCGTGGACAGTCAGCGCCGGTACCTGATCACGTGTGGCAGTGTGTTCCAGGGATCGTGCGAGGCCAGGAGCCTCACCAACGCGTCCCGCGTCCTGCACACGCCCGAGGGGACCAACATGAAGAACTCCGCTGTGGCGGCCAACACGGCCAATGCCTCCACCGTGGCCTTCATCGCCCCCGGACCCCCAGCACTCATGGGCACCGTGTTGTACGTGGCCACCACCTATACAGGTGAGACATTATTTAATATAGAAGTGCTTGGGATTTTAAAAAATGATTTTAAAAAAATAATTAACTCATAAGGGATAGCGTAGGAGCAACACCATCCTACCACACATTGAAAAACAAAAGGTCAAGCGGAACGGACACCTCACGCAGATGCCACCATCCCGCTCTGGGAGCATACAACATTAACTATTCTGGATGGAGAGCCAGAGGAAGACCAAGGCGACGAAGGAGTGAATCTGTGGCAGACACCCTCAGAGCTCACGGGATGTCCCTCCTACAGGCCACTCGCCTTGCTGCAGACAGATGCATGTGTCTCCCCGCGACACCCACCAGTACAAGCGGGGGGAAAAAGTAAAAAGCTTGTGATGCACGATATTGTACGATTTTACTAGTGAGAGATAGATGTTCAATCAAGACCTTTATGTCTATTCAGGTGTTCCAAAGACAATTAATTCAGTTTTTGGCACACCTGAATAGACATAAAGTTCTTGAACATCTAGCTCTCACTAGCAAAATCGAAGGCAACCTACTTGGAGAACTTAAACAGATGCGTAGCTGGGAAAGATCAGGGAAACGTAGCTTTTTTAATATTTTAGAGCATCCGAGAAAGGGAATGAATAGAGAACCATGATCGCCGATGACTGCCGCGGATTTGGCACTTGATGATGAAGATGATTGAATGATTAGATTTCATATCTATATAATTAGGCTTAATGTCATTTCTTTTTAGATGAAGGCCGGTTTTTTTTATTTACACCCCATTGACACAATTAAGGTAGTTTTAGAAGCAGGCTACCAGCCCTACCTATCATAGCCAACCGGGACGTTTATTGTCCGTTGTCTTCTGTATGTTAAAAAGCAGGTGATCCGAGTTCTAATCCCGAATGGGGAGACTTTTTTAACGAGTATGACCGATCTTCCGCTGGGATTATTAATCCCTCTAAGCCTGGGTTGGGCCTTACAAACAGGGTCGGAAGTCTACCTCTTGAATAATCCCTCGTGTTTCGATGAGGGCGTTAAAAACAACACCATGAAAAACACTGTTTTGTTTATGTTGGTTTGGGGGGGGGGGGGCAGTGTTGTTTGGCGTCGTAGTCTAGTGGTTAGGCTACCGGACTCGTAATCGTGAGGGTGCAGGTTCTGGATTAGAGCCTCAGACCCGACGTTGTGTCCTTGGAAAAGGCATTTAAATCGAATGTTCCTCACTTCACCCAGGTGGGAATAGGTACCTGGCCATAGACAGCGAAAGATCTTGTCAGTATGTTAGTGTTTAAGTGTCTATAAATGGTAGTTTGCACTGTATGCTTCCCAGGAAGTTGAGATTGTTTCAGAAAGATATCAAGTCTGATAGTATGGATTGTAAAGCACAGAGAGCTTGCTGATGAGAGCTGGGGGTTTGGGCTATTCAAATTATGCTCTCATCATTATTATTGCTTTTAAGTTCGACACGTCTTTCCCCTTCTTCCGCAGGCACCAGCCGTGAGAACCGAGTATTCCGTGACGTGGTTCCCGCCATCTCCACACGCAGCCTACAGGAGCACAACCGCTTCTCCCTGGCCCAAGTGGACAACAACTTCCTCAAGGGGAGACAATCGGCGCTGTTCCTCAAGAGCGAGATCGCCTCCACCTACCCCATCGACTACGTGCACGGGTTCAGTTCGGGGGGCTTCAGTTACTTCCTGACTGTACAGCGGGACACGGTCAACTTACAGAACAGGGGGAAGAAGACCACGAAAATCATTCAGATTTGCCAGGAGGACAGTTTCTTCTTCTCCTACGCCGATATTCCTCTGAGGTGCGTGAAGAACGGTGTGGATTATAACGTCCTGGAAACGGCGCGCCTGTTCTTCCCGGGGTCTGAACTTGCTCAGGATATGTTCGCCGGACGAATTCCGGGAGACTCGCTAGTTGGCGTTTTCTCCCGGACCGACCCAGAGTGGAAGACAGTGGACTCGGCCATCTGTGTGTACTCCATGAAGGAGATTCGGCAGAAATTCCTGGAAAATATCAAGCTGTGCCATCAGGGGAACTCTTCCGTCAGTGGCGGTGGATATTTGAGAGTCGGCCCGCGGGGGAACTGCAACCACCAGGTAGGTGCCGCTTTGGCAGAGCAATTTCCTGCCGTGTTGGTTGGTTTGTTTGTTTGTTGGGGGGGGGG